AAGTTTTTGTTCTTTCTGTTAGCAATTCCGTTAAAATAACCGTATAAATTATTTTATAAAATTATATGTAGGCCTATATACATAACTTGTGTACTTTTAACAGTATAAAAATTATTATATTTTTATACTAATGATGGTATTTTTAGATTTAAGTGAAATTACGCATTGGACATTTTTTCGATATTTCTAAAAAATATCGAAAAAATAATAATAATCGAACTTGTATCATATCTTGAGAGTTATAAAGAGAAAAAAAAACGACCAAACGTATTTCTTTATGTATTTCTTTTTCCATTTCCTTATCTATGATTTTTTGAATAGCCTTAGGATGATATCCTAAAAGATCTTTGCAAAGAGACAAACAGAAAATGAGATCATTAGATAGAAACGAAGAGGAGAATGAACTACATCTTAACAAGATACATCATGAAAAGATTGTTCTGATCTTTAACAAAAATTCGAAATTTATTAATAAATATTTCTATATATATATATTAGATATATTAGACAAAATTTATTTTAACGACATTTATTTTATTGCATATTTTTCGAAGGTTCAATAAGTTTAATGTTAATATTCTTATTATACATTATTATAATTTTGATATATCTGCAAATAAAAGAAAAAAAACCAAAGTATTAAAAATGGAACTATTATTTTGATTTATAATAGCTTATTCCTTAATATTTGAATATGTCATTCTCTAATAGTTTATGATGAAGACAAAAAAATATTAAAGAAAAAATGAAGGTAATAATGTTTACAACTTTCTTCGTGAATTATTTCCTCCATTATTTATCATATGTTTTCCATTATGAAAAGTAACATATTGTATTTTTATATGCATAATATTTGCATTAATTCCACAGAATAATATTAATAAACATTCATCAGCTGTCTTTTTAATAATAATACAGCTGATGTATAAGTATTTATACAGTATATACTACAAAATTGAGAAAAACTAACAAGGAAGAATTTCCAGTACTTAGAATTTCATGAGATGTTAAAAAAATATATTTTTTTTTCCAATTTTTGATGTTTTATGTAATAAAAATTCAGTCGAATCACTTTATATATTTTATTTTAAAATTGAGAAATTACGAATAATTTCTTATTTTATTTTCCGTAATTAAGTACGCTTTAGTATATATTGTTTATCGTTATAATTTCGTTAAAATAATTCTTTAAATAAATTATTTTTTAGTATTTGAATATTTCATTTATTTTGAGATTACTAGTTGAATATTTAAACTTTATTCCAATATAATTTTTAGAATTTAACGAGATTAGAATGGAAACAAATTTTGTTTTCAAAATTCCTAGTTTTAAAAAACTTAAACAATATTATATCATCGCATTGATAGACGATAATTCCTAAAACCTTTGAAAGTTTAGAACTTAGGGGAGAAAAAGAAAAAAACTTTAAGTTAGATTTAAAAATTCTTTTATATTGATATTTGTCTCAATGGAATTTGGACTTACTAGAGATTTTCTAAATTTTTTTACTAAACAAATTTCTTTATTGAATATCAGTAAATAACTAGCAAATATTTTTAATTTCAAATACTATTTAAATTAGCATTAAAAGTTTTAAGATAAAATTAATTAAAAAGAATAAATACATAATTCAGTAAAGTAATATTGATTTTATTATATAAAACAACTAATTTGCATCTTATTTTGTTAGTTAGATCGGATTTAAAAATAAAAATAACGCTATTTAGACGACAATGTATTGCCAAAAAAGAAATTTAATTATAATTAAGTTGAAATTAATTGCAAAAAAAGGTAAAAGAATAAAAAAAAACAATAGTGATAACAACATTATATCCACGTAGATAGTTTTCATTAGAATGTCTTCAGCATGTAATGATCTTAGTAGAAATATTATTTCAAGTTGTTTAAACTAAATTTATTTGAATATTGCATTATCGATTTTATTTTTGGCAACAGATTCGAAAAGTCTTTAAACTCCGCAAATAAGGTGCCATCATGCAAATGCTGTGCTAACGTAGATAATCGTGCTACTTCAAAGAGATTTAGAAAAGAAAAACGAATTTAGAGATATTTAATATAATGAGAAGAAATTTTAAGTTTTACTAACTTCATGTCATAAATATAAGCTAAACCAAAATGAACAAACAATTTTCCAGTAGGATTGAAAGTTGATATCAGGATTCTGAAGTTGATTCAGTAGAATAGGAAGTATCAATTGATGCTTTTAGAAAAGTTAATTGCATTGAATGAAACGAAAGACACTTAATGCTTGGATTTCCTCTATACGTGACATTACTTTAACAAGCAGATTCCTTCTTTACGATTTGTCACCTATTTTTACTTTCAAAAATGCGTCAATAGATTAAAAGATTCGAATTATAGTTTTCATTTATCTAAACTTTTTTAATTTAATCAATATCTAAAGTATTTTTATTCCATTTATAAAACAAAGTATAATATTCCAGACAATCATATAAGTCGCAGTTTTAAACTCCCCGGGCAAAGTATATATTGTTTAATACGTATAAAACAATATAAGCTTTGTTATGTTCTTTGAAATTTTTTCTTTGCAACTTCGTATATTTCCGCTTTTTCCGTTCATGTATTTTCTCTGCCTGCAGCAAACTATATGTTTTTACTTCTATTTTTTTTATATTTTAACTAGTTATAATATTAAAGCTTCGAATAAAATTTATAACTTCGAAAAGAATTGGCTTGGTTTCAAACTGAAATTATAAATTTATTATTAATAATAGTTTATCAAATGAATGCCCAGTTTTGCTTATGGAGCTATAAATCACTAATACTGGATTCTTATAGCCGATTACCCATGTTTATTATACATTAAATACGGAACGAGAACGTTATTCTTGACGAGTGCATACTATATTTCCTCGGGAAATATTTAAACTAGTATTTTATTATTCATTCATTAAAATCTAAATATATGACTGAAAGCAATCCATATTCTTACAAAATGTTGTAACCAGAAATTTTATCTGAATTTATCTCAAAGTAAGACATCAAATATTTTTAACTTTCATACTTGTGTTTTGCAATGTTTTTCTGAAACAACTTAATGTTATTTCTTAATGCAAACTCTGGTTTACATTCGATTCAAATATTTTAAAAATCAAACAAGAGTTACAACATTGTTTCTGTGATATTGCATTTTTAACTACACGATTCGAACAATACATTTTATATTTTTAATGTTTAGAAAAATAAAATGCATTTATTCATTTCCATTTTTCTTTTCCAATAAAAGAATTTAATTAAAATTATACGTAGACGTTATAAAGAAAAAGAACAAAAATATAAAAAAATGAAATTTTACGTCGAGGAAACATCTAATCTGCAATTCAAAAACGAAGAGTTAGTCAAAATAACACTCCATCAAAAATATTTTAGCTACGGTGACAGCGTTACAAGATAAATAAAGTGTAAGAAATTCTTTTGCTACTACTTTCTATTTATCCTGGAAAAGAAATGGTACATTACATTCCGGTTTTTATTTTGTATATCGCGATTCATATTTAATTCTCAGATAGTATTGAATCACTTTTTGTCTGTTGTCAGCGATCATATTCTATTTTTTGTACGACACAAAGTTGCTTCAAGCTAGTGCATGAAGTGTATCTACATCAATCATATTCAGAGCAAGTGCAATAATAATGTGCAATACACCGTATCTTTGACAACTATACAATTATGATTACTTCCATCCAATTATGACATGCTTCTTGCATTTACACTTTAAATTTTCTTTCTGAAAATAATGAAATAATCTTTTTATAAAGATATTACTTTTCTCTATTTTTTCTGTAATGGCTTAGGAAATAAAAAATGGTCATTATCATTATTTACTTTGTTTACATTGTTCAATAATAATTTCAGTTTTATTCAACCATTGGTAATAAATAATGCATCGTTTATTTTCGCTCATTACATTTCCTAACCTTTATTTTCTCTCGTTAAAATTTTCCTAATAGTCTTTAAGGAATTTATTATACTTATTGTCTGACAAAACCGAACAAAAACAAAATGTTAATTGCATTAAATAAACATGCTGTTTACTATTCGAACAATAATTTTTTCTAAGCGAATATACAAGTGCAGAAATGTTCATTTTTTAATTATTAATAAACGATTAATGGTTTCGGCAGATGAAAGTTTCTGAAATTAATCCTCTAAAATAAAAAAATTATAAAAAAAATAATAATAAACGAAAAACGTAATGCATTAAAAGTAAACAGCGTAAGAAATCAATGCGGTTCGAGAGCTTAACCACAGCCTTTTCCTATGTAAATTGGCCGCTAATTACTGTACATACATGCTCTATTGAATTTATACTACTCTTGAATGAAACTTGTAGGAAAGGAGATGAATTTAACCGTTGATAACCATAACCTTGTCGAGTATTAAATGCGTTCCGATATCGGCTTAAGTATCGTTATAGCGTCTCGAAAGTGGCACATTCTATTGTTTTATTCAAATACTTTGTTTGATGATGTTGCGCCATTATAAATATAAATACGATCGTAATAATAAATCTGATCATAACGCCAACCTAGCCGGATGGTGAGATAAAAGTGATGAGTTATCGTCATCGACTTCCACTAATATTGTATCAAAAACGCTTACAAAGTAAGCTGATGAAGCTACTTTTCATCTATAAATTTGACCAAATTAGCATGATAACCGCAATGTTATAAATGGTATACTGAAAATTAATCCTACACTTACACAACTTACAAACTAGCCCTATACACGATTATTCATTTTCCGTGTATCTATGCATAAATGAATAATTATTATTACCATGATTTATTTACTTTTACCAACTTTCTATCATTAAACAGCATAATATATTATTAATATATTTAATTAAAATTTATAAAGTATAACTAACCACCTTTTATTTATTTTGAAATGTCATATATAAAGTTTTATTCATATTATCTCGAGCGAAATTAATAATTACAATTGTTCCTTATAGTTCTAAAGGAGACTTTATTTCTCGAAGAATACTCCGATTAATGGAGGCTTTTGCTCAGTAAATTTAATGAGCTTGAGACATGGAATGTCGAGATTCTTATTTTATCAAGGTCATTTTACTACTTATAGCGATTCTTCACTTTACACATCAAGGAACAAGTAAGTAATAAGTTTTAATTTCTATCTTTAATAAGAATAATATCATTGAAAACAATTTTTAAATCTTTAAGATAAATTAAAATCAAAATTTTAAGTTAGAATTCTTTTGTATTTCATTTGAATTGTGTATTTTGATAATCAGTTTAGTCAGTTGTTTGTAATGGAATTGTAAACATTAAATAACCAAATTAGCAAGAACTGAATTGTTTAAAAGCAACAAATTAATTCAGTATTTTCTCTTTCAACAACAATTAAATTATTTCTTCAGGAATTTTTTTTTAAAATGTCTTAAACTAGAATGTTTACAACGACTTAAAATTTATCTCCATGCCACGTTTTAATTTTTATAATTAAAACTATAAAAAAGTTACATATTCTGCGTTAATATGATTACGAGAATTTGGTAATTTAATCTATTCAAAATTCTATCGTTTTGGCACATGACAAGTGCTGATCAGATTGATGAGGAATACCACGCTCTGAAATTTGCATGGTCATCTCTACTAACAATATTAATCATTGCAAATTCTGATATATACTAAATACATCTTTACCAATTAACTCATTTTAAAGCATGCGAGTTGCTTAATCGTATTATTATATTGTGAAGATTTCGTTGAATATTTCTCAAGTGAATTAATTATTCAACGAATTAGAATTAGTCTGATGTTGAATGCTCACCTTAAACCTTCAATGCGTAGGTTTATTAAATAAAAAATGAAATGTTTACATTAAATAAATTTAAAACTATTTCTTTTTCTATTAAAAATCTACTATTTTTATATGTCTTCGATAAATTATATATAAAATAATTTTTTACCTAAAAGTACATTATTTCTGTGCCTTATACTTTCCATAGGGTAAAAACAAAGAATTTGGGGTTTATAGGTTAAAAAATGTGTTAAGGTATTTTCAAAACTAGTTTTTTTTAATATTTTGTAACTATTATTCAATCGATGTGGGATTTTAGAAAAGAAGTTTAAATTGGATAAAAACCACAGATTTAACGTAAATCCTCTTTCAAAGAACATATATACAATACAAGCGATACATTTTCAAAAAAGTAAAGAAAAAAAAGGTTTCAACAACACTAAAATGCTTTCCTTGCACATATTTTCAAAAGAAATATAGACAGTGAATTTTTTAATAATGGCCCCGGAGATATTTCCTCAAACCTATACTTTAAATAATATATTTTCAACGTAAGCTGAAACAGCTTTTTATCATATATTGAAGATATTTTATGCACCGTCCGCAGTTTTACATTCGTGCTTACTTTTAATTTCTAAGAATAATTAGCGATGAACCGTTGATTAATCAAAGTGTTTAATGTACTTTTATCAAAGAGAGAAAATATATCAAAACAAGGATCTGGAATTGTCAGATGTCACCCGATTCAGATTTATTTCTAATTGTCTACTACAGCAATTGTCGTGTAAGTTCTTCCATTTCCTTTTTCCACACTTCTTATGACGTTAATGTTACGATGTAATGAGCTTCTCCACATTGTAGTTGCAACTAATGATCGACATCAGGTTATTATCTTCATGTCTTCTGTATGTCAGAACTAAATTCTCTTCACTATCAAATATACTGAATGTAGGACGTGAACAGATTTAATTTTAATGAATCAGATATGTTAATTACCCGAAATGATTGACAAGAATCTTTTAAACTAACATTCAATTAAATAATTTAGTGGTAAACTGTTTCTTAATTCCGTCGTTTCAATCAGGATTAGTTTGTCACGTAAGTTAAATCCAAATAATCTCTCGGATTGAATCAAAAATCGCATTTTCGTGTACAAATTGCAATAATATTGTTATTAAGTGTGCGAGATTTAAGAAGGCTCAAGTGTAATCAATCAAATAACAAAATATGGCAAACTAACGATTAATAGGTTAGACGGTAGGAATATTTAAAGGAAGCCGCAACTCTTTTCTTTATTTCTTCTCACCTGACAAAGATTGATGTATACACTCTTCTATAAGTTGTTACCAAAATATGATGGAAAAAGTGCTGGATGGTACTTATATTACGGTTTGATTCACTGGCAACTTTCGAAGATAAATGGGATTGGATTTTCACTGTCGTAAGAATAATGACTTGATTTATGAGTATCCATAATACGAAATAGTTCTTATGTTTTATAAATCACCTATCTGCATATAAACTCTTACACTTATATTTTAACTCTAAAGAAATCTCGATGGATCTCCTTGCTTTGATGTCGATATATTCCGACGATCCCCGTACTACATCAAAATAAGACAAATATTCTTACTAAATGTTTGTATTACCACGGATTTAACGTTACTCGATTACACTATATCTGAATTAAGAATAGAATTTATAATGCCACAAGGCAATGTAGGAAACGTGGCCCACGGGTACTCTAAAACCTTTATATGCAGCCCTCGACCCGAAAAATTGCACATGCCTGTGTTATATAAAGAAACCAGAATAGTGTTACCGGAAACGTGTACCGAATATACCTCCTACCTTGGCGATTTTTCTTTTTTATCTCATGAATTTCTGAATAATTTACTTGATAAATTGGTTTAGAAAAAATAATTTTTATGAAATTCTTTAAAAACTAATTTCGATTTTAATAAACATAAACAAGAATTTTAATCGATACGAATGAGACAAGTGCGTACTGAATATAAAATTTTCTAAATTTATTGTTTTATCCATGACGGCGGCAAATTTCACGACAGGAAAGGCTGGATCATATAATAGTAATAATGTTTGCGTGCTGGTTTAAGATATTTTCGTATTCTAAAATAACTGACACCACCAATTTGCATTTTAACAATCCGAAATTGAAGCACATTCTAAAAATGATTATTCTTGTTTATCCGGTTTGCTCACGAAGCAAATCTAGTATGATATTTTATAGCCGTGTACATTATTTATTTATGAGCATGTACTGTACACGAAAAATAAAATTTATAAAGTATAATTTTTTACGGATAGGTTCTTTAAATATAGTTGTTTATTTGACATTGATTTAATTCTATTATTATTTTTTTATTAATAATTAATATTTTATGGAGGAAAAAAAATAATATTTTAATTATTTAAATAATTTATTTGGTTATAAGGGTTATATTTATTTTACTTTTAATACTTTGTATATGATTTTAAGTTAATGCTGAAGTTATTTTGAGAGTATACAAAGATAACAATAAAAACTTTACATTCGGAAAAAGAATATCTCAAAAAATGCTATTCTATTTTCAAAGCACCTCCAGAGTACCATGCTGTGGTAGGAGGGAAGGGTGAATTACCTTGCAACATCAGTGTGCCTTCACCGAATGACAAAGTGTCTCTTGTACTTTGGTACAAAGGAGACTCAAGAGTACCAATGTACAGTATCGACACCAGAAATAGCCCCTTGGACCAAGCAAAACATTTTCCTGCAGATTCACTCTTGTCGAGAGCAGTATTCGATATGATTGCAGAACCGTCTGTTTTAAGGATAGAACCAGTTCGTGAAGACGACGAAGGCATTTATAGATGTCGAGTTGATTTCAGATGGGGAAGAACTTACAGTTCCACTGTTATTTTAAATGTTACAGGTAAATTCAATTTCTCTTTCTTAATCGTAACTTTTTAATTTTTTGAATGAATTAATCAGTTTGTCTTGCTTAATATTAGCGAGATTGCAATAAGTTTTTCAAATGTACAGTATCTCATTATTTAAATGGCCATTAATAAACTAAAACAGTTAAATATAATCCGATCTTAAATTTAAATTTTATATTTTCATTTATATGCTATTTAGAACCTAAATGAAGTATTTTGTAACAGAACCATTATCATTTTAGATTTAGTTCTTATGAACAGGCAACTTTCCTTTCATGTGTCTACTTAATTGAAGAACTTGATCTTTATAACCTCTTGGGTATAAACTCAATTAACTCTAAGGTTTTGTTCTCGTTTTATTATCTTGATTGCAAATAATTATTCTAGTTAATAAAGCTTTTTATATAAGAATCATTTTAATGTTCAATAATATTGTAAACTCCTTTTTATAAAACACCATTTTCATCTCATAAAATTTCTTCAAATAAAATAGAAATGAGTAATTTGTTCTCTGTGATAAATTATTACTTTTAGATTTATTGCCTTAGTATATTCTATTTTAATTTAATGTATATATTATTTGTGAACATCCTATATAAATCAATCACATTTTACTTACAGTAATGACTCTGTTTTGATGCGAAAAAAAATGTTATATAAAGAATTTATAGAATTTATCTCGAATTTATACAAGCACTCTTTAATCAAGGAAACAAGTAAAAACATTTTGGATCATATCCAACTACATATTGTTTATGATATACAGTAAGGCCTTGTAAACAGTTCTCTAACTAGAGCAAGATACCAGAGATTATTAACTTTTCGTCAATTTGCTGACTTTTTCATTCGAAACGTGACATCTGAGTGTGAACAGAAACTTAATCTACTTTCGGGTAAAATTGCTAAACAGAACTTTTGGTCTAGGTTACTCTTGGTCTTTAAATTTACATCTTTAAACTGTTCTAAATATCATATATGCTAATATACAACAAATTGAGAATAGTTTATAATTGGATAAATATAACGTAATTTATTTATTTTCATTTTAAAATTTTGAATATCACTAAATAAAATTGAGAGATTAATCATGTCGCTTAATAAATTTTATCTTATATTTTATTTCTTACTGGAATTGCTTATTCTTGTCTTCTATAATCATCTATCAATTTTATGCTTAGGAAATTTTGTATATATAATAATATTTTTATTTATTTTATCGGAAATTTTATAGACTATATAAAATCTGAAAATTCTATTAAGTCTTTTCGTATCTATAAATATGATATTTTATATTATATTTATTTAGTTTTTTAGAGACATTAACGTTGATTAAAAACATATATTTTGTCAGTGCCTCCGGAAAAAACTATCATCACTGATGACAAAGATCAGATGATGTCTGGTATCATAGGGCCGTATGATGAAGGTGCAGATGTACAACTCAAATGCGATGGTATTGGAGGTAAATATTTGGATAACACGAAGTAATTTGTTTTATTAAATAATTCTATAACACTTAAAAAAATTTAGTTTATTTTTAAATATAAAATAAAATTCTTTCTCCTATTTATATTAAACACGCTTCGTAGTTGGATATAAAGAGATATTTTAACAATAACTTTAACCTTTTAGATAAGTCTAATTGGAAACAGAATATAATATGTAATTTATTTATTATTACAATTGAATTAAATTTATTATGTATTTAAATTGTGTTAAATTTCTTTAGGTATATTTTACTAATTAAAGGCAAAGGACTCCATATTTAAATTACACTGTACTGTAGACTTTCAGAATGGAAGTTGTAAGCACCTTCAAACATTAAACCAGATCAAAAATGCTAACGATGTCTGGAATTTATCTTGCAGTATTGAAAACTAAGAGAAAAAATGCTGACATAGCAAAAAGATTTTTTGTTCAATTGAAGAATGGAAAGATCAAAAATCATTTTCACTTTGCATATCATACGTACGAATGGCAATGCAAATTGTTGCCACAGTACAGGTTACTATTATAGGATAATAACAGGAAAGGATTCATTATCTTGTAAATGTGAATGTTGGTATTATGCAGATGATAAGAGGCTGCGATGATTTAAAAGACGAAACAATCATTAAATTCGATCAAATGTCTTTAAATTGAATATATTTTTCAGAATATTTTTTATCTTCTTATCTTCTTAAGCACAGATCACGTATTTTAAAACAGTTAACAATTTTTCATCCTGATAACTAAATTTCAGATTTTTTTTGTATTCTTCAAAATTTTATTTACAAATTTTAATATTTATCGACAAAAACTTTTAAACAGCGTATTAAAATTATGAAACTGATTATCAATTTAAATGATTACGGATTAGTTTATAATATATATTAATAATACTGTTCAATCGAGCATTAATCTTCGGGAAGCAGTTTAGATGTGTCAAATTTTTTATATTATTATTTTTTTCTAATATTAAAGTTAAAGAATGACTGGTAAGAAGAAAACCGATTATCTAAAAAAATCATAATAAACCAATTTAGATAATTATGTATTTAAGTAGCTCTAAAGAGCATGTAAAAAACTAAAATGAATTATAGTCGATATTAATATTTTTTTATTTACAATCAAAATAATGTGAAGGGCCAAAAAAGTTGATTTTTATTAAAAAAAAAAAACTCTACAGTTTATTTAGCTTCGTTCAATGAAGCGAAGTTGAAAAATGAGCGTGTAAGTAGTCCCTCTGGGTATTTTATTTCTTTTAAATCGAGATTGGTTCAGATGAAATAACTTGCAGGAATCAGGAAACAAATGAGCTATCTCTTTACACAATAATGTCTTCAAATAGGCTCTTATTTAAATCTTTTTATACCGGCTATCAAAAGCAACATTACTGATTACAACATTTTCATAATTTCAGAAAAATTCTCCTCTTTCAGTTAATTTTATTTTATTTTTTCATTATAAAACATGCAATAATTAGCCAATTATGTGATTGAATTTCATTCATTGTAATCTGAAATTGTCAAATGAACTAAATTTATTCTTTTGTAGGAAAGGAGGAGGGAAAAAAAGATTTAATCAGCAAAAATAACTTAATTGATTATAAGCTATTTGAAAGTACAGTACATGGGGATATCTGTTGTCTCTCGGGACTCATCTACACTAGACAGATCATGATTTTAGTAAATGAACAACTAAAATATTTTACGCTTTTTTTTTCTTTTAGTTTTTGTATTGCATTAATTAATTTTTGCAAATTTTAATTTTTAATTGATTAATTTAATGCTGATTAAAAAAAGGCAATTTTTGTTATTTTTTTAAAAATTCAAATTTATGCTTAAATTGCATATAATTTTTAATTAAAAGATATTACAATAATTGCTGTTACTATCCATTTACTCATCTAAAATATTTTTTTCATAAATTCAGGGGAAATTAGAAAAAAAAATTGTCCATAAAAATGAGATGTTAGATATATACAAAGCTTCATTACAGTAAAACTTTTTAGTGCTTTAAGAATCTCTAGCGAAGAATATTTATAATACGCAGCCACTTTCGTTTCGATAAGAGAATTAATTAAAGATTAAAACAGCTCTTTAATTTACATTTCAATTATCATTAAAAGAGAAATAAACAACTTTTAATATTTATAATATTGAATTTTTTTTTAAAAAAAATGCCTTTATTGCTCTTTAAATAATGCTTAATGTTGAGTTTTTCTATTTAAAAGTTTGAGGATGAAGGAAATCAAAATAAAAAAGAAGAGGTTTATGTTCGAGAGATTTCCTGAGATTATTATATCAAACAGCGAAACTTGAAATAGAATTCTTATAATATTCTCACGTCTATGAAGAGTTTTTCTTTGTTTATATGTAGTTTGTTAACACTTACATTGGACATCTCTAATATCTATATAGTTTAAAAATAAAACTATAAATTTCTTAAATGATTTTTTATTATTTAAAAATTTTTTCGTTTATTTTAAAAATTGTTCTAGAAGTTTAATTAATTAAGATTTATTTTTATTTCATTTAAGATATTTTCTTTTCTGTTCTTATTTTTATTATATGTACTAAATCTAAGATCTGGAAATGAATAAAACTTGATTTAATGCAGTAATTAAAGTAGTTAAAATGAAAAATATAGTAAAAGTAAAACACGGACCTAAAATGTTTTGCTTCTCGTTAATTAAAAACAAATTACTCGTTTAGTTGAAATAATATCTAATGTTCTTTTTCGATTTACGTTTTTCTTTTTTATTATTAAACAGAATTTTGGCATCAGGATTTGGCACTATCTCCCATTATCTTACATTTTCCTGGTATCCATTCGTTATGCTTGATTTCTCTCAGTCGTCAGAATAACCGTTACATTTTCGACTTATGTCCTAAATCTGAAAACTCTTTTCACAGCGAGGTTATGCCACCCACGAGGATCAAATTAATTAAAGTTTAGATGAAATATAACAAGTACTTTCACCCGTATATTAAACTTACTTTTAGCTAGAACCGAATATATTTCTAAAGATTATTAAAATAATATAAAAATATATTGATTTTTTTTTAAAGTAATAAAGATAAATTTATACATTATTCGAATATATATGGCAACAATAAAATAAATATTTAATTTGTTTCATTAAATATTCACAAAATGCTTTTATTTGTTATCAATACGACAATTCAGTAGTTGCAGGCAGTCTATTTAAGCAATAAACTGTGTTAAATCAAAGTTATATTACAAATTCATTCTTTGCATTCTTTTTAAAAAATAATTTAAATAGAAAAAAATAAGAAGAAAAAATAATGAATAAAAATCATATTTCTCATCTGTTAAAAATTTAATAACGTCGATATTTTATTTTAATAAATATCAATCACATTATCTGAAGGGTAAAATAAAAAAAGTAATATTTATCTCATGAATGAGATACACGTCGAGTATAATAAATATTTTTAAGGATAGTTTTTATTTTTCATTGGAAGCAAAAATCTAGAAGTCATCCATCTTTGGTTCATTTAGTTACGTGTCTATTTCTTTGCCAAAAATTTGTTAAAGAACTAAAAAACAATGAAGGATGCTCGATGAATAATTATAGATTTTTCCGTAATAGAAAAGTTCATTAATCTCATAGATGTGCTCGAAGGAACTAAAAAAAAAAAAACATATCTAGTTCATAAAAGTTTAAAGAAGACAATCAGTTCTAATTAATTATCTATCGAATTATTTATATCCTACAAACATCTCCACTATTCTTTATAGTAGTTTAACTGGTTTCACTAATACAACATGGCATTAATCGAAATTATTCAAGCGTTGTCTTGAAATTTATATAACTTATACTAGGATTAAACTTTTATTAAAAGTCTTTTTAATTATTACTTCAATATTTTATTATTTATGAATTAAACGATCACAATTAAATTTAAAAATACTGAATAATTTTTATATCATAAAAAATATATTTTAAAAAGAGTAGTAAGTAAACATCGAAAATAATTTAATTAATCGTTTAATATAAAAACATTTTTCTGGGTTTTTTTTCCTAGAATCATCGCTTAAACTTTTCGCATTTTATTATATGAAAGAACATAAATTATTTATGATTATCGCAAGAATGAAAATAGAATTTTGAATATTTAAGCAGATGGAGAACGGAGATTTTTAATGTGTTGATTAAAAGAAATTTTATTTTATTTTAAATGTAACAAAGTTTCTGTATAAATATTTATTAATAATTTTCATCTTCTTAGAATAGGAATATGTAAGAAATTCATAGCTTATCTGTTCTATTTATTTATGAATCTGTAAGGAAATTTAGAAAATGAAAGGATAAATCTGAAGATATTAAATAAATGTAGTATTGTGTACGTTGCATGATTATAAACATCGGAAATTCTGTTTATATGCAGCTCTGACGATGGGAATACTAATACAGTAGGAGCATCTGTTACTAATATATTTAGTTACATCTGCTGAAATACTACATTAGTATTTAATTCATTAAAACACTGTTAGAACGATAATTGTATCAAACATTATCGACATTTTGACAATGATATTATTGTACGAATGTTAGAACATTCACGAAATTGTCGAGAACTGGCATTTGTCGTCCATTTCGATTATGGCTGAATGTGCACATATAACGCGCACACTTTTGATTTATCGGGCCTAATGGTTCATTCGTGAATTTTCTCGACACTTCTTTAAGCTTTAAAAATTGTTGGTTTGGGAAATTGTTTTTGGGCGCTCCTCTGAATTCTAATCTTTGTTTTTCAGAGATTAAACTATTTTTTATGTAATATTTTCTTTAATATTACAATAAATTAAATCGTTTTGAAAGGTACTAATGAATTTATTTTCGAATGATGTTGCAACTAAAGTCACAAGTAAAATTTATCGTTCTGGAATAATGAGTTGATTAACTCGTTCGATAAGTAGGATTGATGAATTGTTAAGGGAAAATGGAAGTAA